GAACAAACGTTCCCCCCCCCCCCCCCCCCCCCGTCATGTGTCCACGAGAAGTTTTCGCGAAGATTGCGCGTGACTTTCAAATGATTTGTTTTTTATTTGGAACCCAAATGGTATACGGGATGGTTTTTCGTCCCAAATGGGACAAATTTTGTCAACTTTTCGATTGGGACTATTCTACAATGAAGTACTCTTGGATACTGTAATCTAAATACATATGAGAATGGAGAAGTGGCATTTATCGGACAGAGAAGCGGCGAGCCATTAAAATGGCGGCAATTTGACGAAATATCGAAGGACACAATATCGAAGATAAAATACACTGCACAGTTCCTAAACTTCATGAAACTTGGGTGAAATACTCTTTAGCCATTTATGATTAAGTAAAAGTATAACGACTGGATGATATTTGCGAGATTCGCCGATAAAAAGCAAACAAGACGGCAAAATATGGCTGAAATCGTGTTTTCGTGGGGGGTAAGTGAAATAAAATGTATTATATTAAAAGAAAACAATGACAATCCTTATGAAATCCACAATAATTATATTGAACTAAGCATAGTTTTTCATCCCATGATAATTTTTTTTAGGAAATAAGAAAATTTAATTTCTGCCAGGCATATTAGTTATTTTGTGCATAATCAGCATTTTACCTGGGGTGGTGCAGGGTCATTTTCTGGTAAGATATTATACTTAGACAAATTTTTCCTTCCAATAACCACCCCTAAAGGCAACCCTTCTAAACACTACAAGCACTTCAGAAAGGCTATTATTGCTTTTCCTTTCCAGAAGTTAGAGCTATGTCGACACTGCCGTTTCAGGGCGGGGTCATTTTCAGGACTTTTGCCCCGAATTCAGGTTTTCGCACATATGCCATGTTGACCGCCATGGTCATTTTACCCTAAAACAGTTGAGATTACCTGTCCTAAATGAATCGCATACAAACTCATATACAGGTCCTAGACTAATGCACAAATAATTAGAATAATTCAGAATGCACAAACAACTCCCATATAAGGAACCAACGTCCACATATGGAGTTGTTTAGGCCAAAAAAAATTAGAACAAGAAGAGCCAGCCCTTCATGTAAGTTTCATGTAAACGCGTGGTGAAATTCATCTCGGGGATGCGAGCCAGCTCGGGTACCCGGGCTGGCTCGCTTCCATATAAACAGTCCCTTAGTCAGATACAATTTTATACAATGTATGTACAAATATTTTAGATATAGTTGATAATGGAGGTTCACATATCACATTTTTTAGTGGGTTAAAATTAAGAATTGGATCAGTAAAAATACTTATTTTCGTATATACATACCAAGAACAGGCTATACTTGAGCGCCCAAAATTTGGCTTCACCCAAACATAAGCTTTTATCATATGTAGGAGTTATCGTTCTAGTTTACTTATGGTTCATTGGGGCTACCTGCCTAGCAATTGTGAGCAAGTATAATGCACCTGGCCACGTGAGGGACTCGGGTAAACTGTCAAGTGATTCGTCTTTAAATAGAGTCCACTCAATTAATATTGTTGTTATTTATTCTGGTGAACACGCTAGTGAGATGTGTAAAAATGACCTAAAGCTAGCTTTCTAATTTTTACCTGTTCCAGTAACAACATAAACTTTTCTATTATTTTGGTTAGCATATCTTTTTACTGCACTTTCCACCTTGCCCCAGTTTTCACTGTTGAACGCAACCCATTGTGGTGCAACATTGGTGTTTACAAATGTAAGCTCACGTTCGTTATCATCATCGAAGGCTTCGTTGGGTGTAAGATGACCGCGGTTGAAAAATCGACGCTTGTCGTCAAACTTTGGAATAATGGGTTTTTGTGAGTATTTCTCGTAGTCTTCTTTCTCGTCCGTCTGTGTCTTAGGAGCTTTAAAAAAATGCAGACAATCATACAAAAAATAATAGGCACCGTTCGTTAAATATTAAGTTGTTTCAAATTTTTAATTTCCTTTTTTTATATGGCAAACATCACTTCCGGTGAAATGGTGGATTCTAATTGGCTGAGAAGCACTTTCAGCGATCCATTATTTTCCCGCAATGGATCAGCGGTTCATTACGTAAAAAGAAGTGCATGCATTCTAAAATAAAACATCAAAACAAACTAAAAATTTGAAAATTATAATTTAATCTGCAAATGATTTTACGTGGAAAAGAAGGAATACATTTGTAATTTCGTTTTCTTCGATCAAATGTGTATCGCGCTACTAATATATGAACTTCAAATCAGGCTTTTCTTGTTTGTTTCCAGTAAACATGCCTATAAATACCATACAATAAAGTTTAAGTTTACCTCGCTTGATCGGTCTTTACAGAGAAATATCGGACCTCGGTCTTTTTGTACAAACATCACCCTACGGACTCGGTAAATGTTCAAAAAAAGGACCGAGGTCCGTTAATTATTGATGTGTAAAAACCTTGCGCTCGATTAATAAAAAGTTATTAATTCGATTAGTAATACGAACCTCAAACCGTAGCAAATTTTGATATTTTTTGAAATTTTGATTTTCGGTCAAATGTGTTGCGTACTAGCCAAAATAATTATACATGCACACAAACAAATTGACTGGTTCAACCAGAATCATAAAACAAAGGAAGAATGCGATACCATTTTTTTAATGTAGGTAATAGGTTGGTTTCGAGCGAACATGTGCGAGTGAGTTTTTGACTAGTGCTATTTCAGTTCTTTTAAAAAGACGAAAATTTCACTCAACGATGAAATTTTGTTTTAATTATGTTTAAGGCAATTATATAATTATTCAGGTAGCGCTATTTTAATTTAAATAATATAGAAACCATATTTTTTTACACGATATCTGACCATTACTTGAAGACAGTTGTTACAAAACTTTGCACTGTTATTACACAATTTTGCACTCTTGTTTGTGCACATGCACGAAAGAATTTTTCATGCACAACATGCACGAGAGAACTTTTCAAAGGCCACCAAAATAGGACAAGTCCGAAGGATGAGTGCTATTTGAGGTCTTTGAAAAACTCACGAGTGCTTGTTTTATCCAAATCTCACGAGAAACCATCCTAAAATGTTCGAGACAACCGTAATTTTAACTTAGTTTTATAGCGAACCGTCCACTGGCAAAGTGTTTTCCTATTCTGCGATCAGGCTCTCTTTGAACTCTCTTTGAAATTGGAGTGAGAGCTTGCAGTCCTATATAGCTAATAGAAATGCGTCTTTGCGTCGCTTAGAACGACGCAGGGTTCCCATTAATTGAAACCGAGTAGTTGCTTATTAACTACATTATAGACCTACTGCCATCAAAGGCTGTCAAAATACAAAATGACTGAAAAACGGCAAACTTCGCAAGGCTATATCATCTGCATTTTACAACATTTCGCAACGAAACTTTGGAATATTACTAATCTTGTGATGTCCTTTCAAGCTGTGATGAAATTTTTGTCTGGATCAAAGTTTAGTCTATAATGCAAATGGTCCATTCACCGTATTTTACTGTATTTAGTATTGGCAGGTTGCATTTTTAAACTTTTTGGGTTGTGTTTTTAGTTTGAAATTACTACTTGCCTTCACTCCTCGGTTTATCGCTAAAAAAATAACACTTTTGGACCACGGTCAAGATATCGTAAAAAGCTGCCCACTGTTGCAGCCAGTCAGATTGCAGGAAATAGAAAACATTACTAGGCATGCGCAAATAAAAAAATAAATACTGTTTTTTTTTAATTTTGTAAGTTTTCATTCAATGCAAAATCTGATCTGAAAGGTTTCGCAAAATTTATCACTTTCATATCTTGTGTTACTTTCATATTTGTATCACAATTAAAATAATAAAATTAAAATCGTAAATTTTCTACCGGTTCAAAGTATAAGCTAACTAGAAATCATACTGCATATACTTATAAAGACACCAAACTATAAGATGGCTTATTAAACAGTGCCGCAGCAAGCTCGATAATTTTTGGGGGGGCTGATGTTCATATATTCGTGTTCATAGATCATTTGTAAAGAAATTAACAACTCACAACACGAATATATGAATATCAGCCTGCCAGTTATCGAACTTGCTACGGCACTGATTAAATATATATATGAGATGCATGAGATGGCTTATTAAATAAAGTGAAATAATTAAAACTTAATATAGCCAATACTTATAAATGAAGCAGGCAACTTACCATAACGTCCTCCTTCATTCCTGAAACCGTGTCGTCCCGTTGCAGCTGCTTGATTTCTGCCAAGTGGAGCAACTACGTGACCAGAAAATTCAGGGATGAGGGTATTTTGGTTGTAACAAACAGCGTATAAAGCCGTTCCTCTCCTCAAACCATAACAAAGGCCAGCATAAGAGCGACCACGGCATTCCATTTTTGCGTTAAGAACAGCGCTTCTACCCCTACTCCAACCATCAAAAAGACAGCGGTTTATGTTGTTGTCGAATGCATTTTCACCCTGTGCGTTAACGGAAAACAGCAAGTAGCTGGATACTAGTGACGCCAAAAGACAAACGTATATAGCCTGCATTGTTTTCGTTCCAAATTCACTAAGTTTGAAAAAGAAGGAATATTATTCAATTTAAATTAATGAAAACTAGGCCAACTTGTATAATATAAAGTTTTGATGGACGATGTTGAATTTTCTAGTGATCATCAAAAGGTCAATATGTATATCATGATGAAGATAAAAATTTTGAGCATGTTGTTCAATACACCGTATAGCTATATTTATAATTGATCCGTGTAGTTCCAGGTTACGTCCAATGAATTTTATATAAATTCCATATCGTTTTCCCAAAATTTATTAAGGATAATATCACTTTCATGCCTGTATCACAATTAATAAGATGAAATTAAAATCGTAGATTTTCGATTTAACCAATACATTGCATGCTTATTTCAGATTTAAAATGAATCTGGGAAAACAAATTCGTTGTGAACATCTAAATGCATTTTACTCGCTATGGAACACTTGGTAACCATTGTAACGTTATTTTACATTTTTGTTTAACAAATTGGGAATCAATAGTTTAAAATAGGGAACTCATGAAAAAGTATGAAAATGAAGGGAGAATTTTTAAAATGAAGAAAATATAAATATTGAAAAACTAGTAACAAAAATTGAAGCACAGAAATATGGAATCCAGTTTTGTACACTCTTTATATATATTAATTTTAAAAACTTAAATTATAATTTAAAAGTTCTCATATAAAATAATAACAGATTAGTCTAATAGAATACTTGCGAAATATAAGTTGATATCTAAGCTTAAAAATATATTATTCTTTCATAATTATATATAATATTTACATGTTTATATAATTAGATACATTGATATTTCTACAAATATATGACTTACATGAATTTCCAAGCCAAATTTATCCCTATACAGTATATACTGTATAAGCAAGAATCGATCAGAGTTCTTCCAGTAAGATGTGAAGAGTTAATTAATAAAACTATTGTCGATAATTGACAATAATTTTTATTGTGCTTCCCATGGTTTGCCTCTCATTTTTTAATAAAAAATAGCTGGTAACACTTGGAATAAGCTTTATTTACTGACTAATTTTATAGTTATATATATATTTAATAATTTAAGTTTCAATCTCTTTACAGAATTTGCGATTAAGCTTGGTACGTTACATTTGCTCAAGCAAATAATTCTTCATAATTTTCGGATTTCCATCACTTTCTATAACTTTCTATGACTGACTTTTGCTAAGGTAAATTACTTAACATATAGTTACTTAATAAACAATTTTCTCTTTCTAATGGACAACTTGCATGTTGGACTAAATTTTAATCTAACTAAAGAGAAGGGAATAAAACACAACAGTTAAAAAGAAAATAATGAAATTAGTAAAATTGCAAAGTTTGGTTGCGAAATGTTGTAGATTATGTTGTTACTTAATAAACAATTTTCTCTGCCTAATTAACTTACCTTATTTCCTAAGATCAAATATTTCACTGCAATAAGCAATAGACAGTGCTCGTATATAATATCTGAAGCCGCCGAATGGTAAATATAAACAGTGTTTCGATTGTGTTTCTTTATTTAAATAAATTAAGACCTGTTAACCCATTCATTAGATGGCGGTGTGTGAAAGACATCAGACTGCTACAAGTTCGATATAAATAAAGTTAAACTTCAAATAGACTGAAACTTCAATTTCAACTCTTTTTACAATAATTAAAAGGTCCCATATTTGGCCTTTCATGTTATAGGAATGGTATATTCTTACAGTTGAAAGGTTTCTTGACGAAAATACCTTTGGTAGCTTTTTTCTGCGCGCCTCAGTCACGCGCGAAAGTGTTGCACTCTCAAGTCATTCACCTTAATAAAATTGTGGTACAGTATCTTAAGGGTTTTTTTGCAATTTATTAACACTCCTTTAACAACAATCCTTCTTTGATGAACACCAATACCTGCATGTGATACATAGATTTGTATTTATACCATGAAAAAGTATGAAAATGAAAACAAATTAAAATACTTTTAAATATTGAAGTTATAAAAATTGAGGCTCAAAAATGTAATCCATTGTTATAACACATTTATAATTTTTAAACAGTTAATTCTAATCTATAAAGAGTGGACACTTAAAAATAATAATTGATTTATTTATTGTAATTATATTTGCGAAATAAACTTTAGGTGAAACTAATATACTTATATAAGGAACCAATATTTTTATATTATCATATATAATATTTTACTAGTGTTAATAAATATTTACGAAAACAGCAGATAAATAAATCGATATTTCTATGATTATACAACTTACCTGAATTTCCAGTAAGATGTATCGAGCTAATAAAACATCTTTATTGAAAATTTTAGGACGCCATTGGGTCAGACTTATGAGAGCAGAAATAAGCAATTTCAAACTCTTAATAACTAATTTTATAGTTATCCATCGAAAGCAAGTTCCAAACGATTTACAGAACTTGGAATCAAGTTTTTTAAGTTATATTCACTCAGGCATAGAATTCTTCATAACTTTCGGATTTCAATGAACTTGATGTGACTGACTTTTGCTAAAGTAAGTCACTTAAGCTATAATAGAAATATTTTCTTTGCATAACTTACCTAATTTTCGAAGCTCAAATTTCTCACTGTGTTAAGCAATAGACAGTGTTCGTATAATAAATGAAGCCGTGGGATGGTAAATATATATAAGTGCTTCGATTGTGTTGCTTACGTTTAAATAAATAACACCTGTTAACACATGCATGAGAGGGCTTATTAAAGACAACAGGGTGTAGCAGAAAATCCAATTAACCTTTGATTCAAATAAAATTAAATTTCAAATAGTCTAAAATTTTAAGTTAAACGGTATGTCATTTTTACAATTATTTGAAAGCTTAGTTATTCAGAAAGGAATGGTTTATTTAACATCCGAAAGGTAGTTTGAAGAAAATACCTTTGGCAGCTTTTTTCCAACGCACGCCTCGATCACAGGCGAAAATCTCAAGCTATTCACCTTAACTTAATATGATACTGTTTCTATTTTTATAATTACAATTTATTCAAATTTCTTTCCGAGATTATAAGTTCTTTATCTATCTATCTATCTATCTATCTATCTATCTATCTATCTATCTATATACATATATATATATATATATATATATATATATATATATATATATATATATATATATATATATATATATATATATATATATATATATATAATAATTTAATATTTTAATACAATTTTTCAATTGAATAAGTTGCTACTTTAAAAGTAGCAACTTATTCAATTGAAAAATTGTATTAAAATATTAAATTATTATTATATGCTCTACAATTGTCTTGTATTGAGCACTCTTTATTCTTAAAAACGGGAAATTACTTTATGGAATTATATATATATATATATATATATATATATATATATATATATATATATATATATATATATATATATATATATATATATATATATATATATATATATATATATATATATATATGCAAAGTTAGTCATGCATAATTAACATATGCAAAGTTAGTCAGTCGAAAAACAATGCGACCATACTGTAAGCTATTACGTTTTGATTACGAATGTTCTCT